TGTCTGGGTGTGTGTGAGGGGTAAAGTGTGTGTGATGGATGCTGTGAGTGTGAGGGGTGAAATGTGTGTGTGTGTGATGTGTGTGTGTGTGAGAGAGGGAGCTGTGTGTGTGTGACGGTAATGTGTGTGAGAGGGAGCTGTGTGTGAGGGAGCTCTGTGTGTGCATGTGTGTGTGTGTGTGTGTGAGAGAATGGTGTGTGAGAGAATGGTGTGTGTGAGGGTGACGTGTGTGTGAGGGTGTTGTGTGTGTGTGTGTGAGTGTTGTGTGTGTGCTGTGTGTGAGGGTGTTGTGTGTGTGTGTGAGGCATTATATCCCCCCTCCCTTTTTACCTTTAGTCTGGGGAGTGGGGGGACCGTGCTGCCATCCCTGGTGGTGCTAGTGGTGAGTGAACTCTAGCCTGTGGGGCTAGAGGTTACTCTCATGAGATTGGGGGCATTGCCATGGTAAAGGTCCAGATCTTGCGAGAGGAACCTGGCGAAGCAGCAAGATAAAGCTCCACTGGGTCCTCCTCTCCCTCCCCAACGGCAAGTGGGCTGGTGATGGAGATCTTTGATCTCCCCACCAGCCCGTCATGGAATACTGCAGGGCCGGCGCTCAGAGAGCGCGGGCCCTGCATGGACTGGTCAGGGAGGTCTGTGACCACCCCTGCCGTCCTTGGCCTATGGCCATCGCAGCCTACCGGGCAAGCTTGATAAAGGCCTCTGTGTAGGCCGAAATGTTACACTTTTTGTTCAATAAACCTGCCTCCCTGGAGCAATCCAGAGTGCCTGGACCTAATTTATTTTATCTTCTAAACTGGGGTTTGCCAACCCTGGCCTTGATAAGCACCTGGATTCCTAAGTGTGAGTGCGGTATCCTCCATTTGTGAATTACTATCTGCAGGACTAGCATACATATACAGACATAACCTTCACTCAGACTCTTCTTTCATGAAAAGTAAGGCAAGTTTTGAAGCACATAGCAGCTGGGTATCTGCCAGTTTCCACTATACCACCGTATCTGTTCATTTTCTTGAAATCAAGTCTGTATTTGTTTACTTCATAAAATATTGATCTAAACGTTTTGAGGAAATAGCAATAGCTGGGGACTGAAAATTTGAATTATGCAAGAAAAGGATAAAGCAACAGCAACATAGGCGCGCGCAGCTTATTGCATAAGAGTGTGCACCCTAAAGCACAAACACACATGCCACCTGTATATGTATGTATGTATGTATGTGTGTATATATATATATATGATATATATATATACACACACACGCACTGCTGTGTGTGTGTGTGAAGGTGCTGTGTATGTGTGTGTGAGGGTGCTGGTAGTGTGCTGTGAGTGCGTGAGGTGCTGATAGTAGTGTGCTGTGTAAGGGGGCTGTGTGTGTAAGGGTGTTGTGTGCTGTGTGAGAGTGCTGGTAGAGTGCTATGTGTTAGTGTGCTGTGTGTGTGTCTATATAAGGGTGCTCTGTGTGTGAGGGAGCTGTGTACTGTGTACAAGTGCTGTTAGTGTGCTGTGTGTGTCTATGAGGGTGAGGGTGCTCTGTGTGTGTGAATTTGTTTGGAGGGATTGTGTGTGGGGGTAGGGGAACAGATTAGGAAATAACCCCCCTCCCTTCTTACCTTTTGCCTGGGAGGGGGATCCTTGCTACCATCCCTGATCCCTGGTGATCCTAGTGTGAGTGAACTATAGCCTGCAGGTATAGCCTTCCACTGCACCGCTCCAACCTCGCGAGAGGAACCCAGAGGAGCTGCTGGCAAGAGCCTCCCAGGTTCTCTCCTACCTCCCTCCCTCCCTGTGGGCCGGTGAGGGAGATCTTTGATCTCTCTCACCGGCCCATGGAGGCACTCAGCGCGGGCCGCGGGGATTAGGGTGTGCCCAGGCACACCCAGCACACCCTGTGTGCATGCCTATGCCTGAATGACATTTGGCTAATTTTGACTGGTGAGTCTGGCTAAGCATATAACCAAATCCAGCCCTCAGTGCTGCAGGCAGGACAAGGCATGGTTGGAAATCAGGCTAAATAATGGGCTGAAGTGTGGCTCAGAGACAATACAGCAGGGCCAGAGTAGAAAAAGACTACAGTTCAAATCCCCCTAGAGCCCCCTGGGGGTTGGCCACACCTGGCTGCCTGTATGGCACGGTGCGAACGGTGACACTCCTAAAAGGCAGATAATTGACCAGTGAGAGTGCAGGGGTTGTGATCTATTCACAGGAACTGCTTAATTAAGCTAAAGTTGTGTTGGTGCTTAGATAATCATTTAAATATTGTCAATAAACAAAGACAAAATCTTGATCATAGAAAACATTCACGTATACGTATATCAAACAGATGTTTAAGCTATATAGATGAAGGCGGCTCTCCATCCATTTACAGATATGGTATCTGGCTCTCAAGTGGAAAAAAGATAAAGCAAGCAGACACGAGAAACAGCGTTTACTTACATGTAACTTTTTGTCAAAATTTTAAAAGCCTTTTCTACAGCTTGCTTATTATTATTATTATGTTATTTATATAGCGCCATCAAACTCCGCATCCATGCTTCTCCACCACCAATAACATAAGATGCCATTAGTTCACATTGACACAACTCAGTGCTACTCCACTCTGTGAGTCATTTTATTAATTTATTTTAAATCGGCATCCATTATTTGTAATAAAGTTTATCTTCAAGGCACAATAGCACACATATGGGGGTACTGTGTTAAATTAACAACATTCTGTTAGAATATACACAAACTAAGAAATGTAACCCATCTCTAACGGCTTTAACATCTGAAATAGGATTATTTAAACGATTCCCAAATTCAACAAATAAAGTTGATAAAATAATTATAGGCCATATTCTGATTGCCGCCACATCTTCTTTACCCCGATATTGTAAATCCCCTACTTTACCTTCTATTACAGAGGTTCTGAATTTAGCATTTGAAAATAAAACTAAAATTATACTATATATGAATTAGACAAAATAAAATATTTATGGAATGAATGGGAAGTCAATATGAATTTTTTTTTATAATCTGTAAATATGGAATATAGATTTATGTAACAATTTCCATATTGTGTTACTACAGGGAGTGCAGAATTATTAGGCAAATGAGTATTTTGACCACATCATCCTCTTTATGCATGTTGTCTTACTCCAAGCTGTATAGGCTCGAAAGCCTACTACCAATTAAGCATATTAAGTGATGTGCATCTCTGTAATGAGAAGGGGTGTGGTCTAATGACATCAACACCCTATATCAGGTGTGCATAATTATTAGGCAACTTCCTTTCCTTTGGCAAAATGGGTCAAAAGAAGGACTTGACAGGCTCAGAAAAGTCAAAAATAGTGAGATATCTTGCAGAGGGATGCAGCACTCTTAAAATTGCAAAGCTTCTGAAGCGTGATCATCGAACAATCAAGCGTTTCATTCAAAATAGTCAACAGGGTCGCAAGAAGCGTGTGGAAAAACCAAGGCGCAAAATAACTGCCCATGAACTGAGAAAAGTCAAGCGTGCAGCTGCCACGATGCCACTTGCCACCAGTTTGGCCATATTTCAGAGCTGCAACATCACTGGAGTGCCCAAAAGCACAAGGTGTGCAATACTCAGAGACATGGCCAAGGTAAGAAAGGCTGAAAGACGACCACCACTGAACAAGACACACAAGCTGAAACGTCAAGACTGGGCCAAGAAATATCTCAAGACTGATTTTTCTAAGGTTTTATGGACTGATGAAATGAGAGTGAGTCTTGATGGGCCAGATGGATGGGCCCGTGGCTGGATTGGTAAAGGGCAGAGAGCTCCAGTCCGACTCAGACGCCAGCAAGGTGGAGGTGGAGTACTGGTTTGGGCTGGTATCATCAAAGATGAGCTTGTGGGGCCTTTTCGGGTTGAGGATGGAGTCAAGCTCAACTCCCAGTCCTACTGCCAGTTCCTGGAAGACACCTTCTTCAAGCAGTGGTACAGGAAGAAGTCTGCATCCTTCAAGAAAAACATGATTTTCATGCAGGACAATGCTCCATCACACGCGTCCAAGTACTCCACAGCGTGGCTGGCAAGAAAGGGTATAAAAGAAGGAAATCTAATGACATGGCCTCCTTGTTCACCTGATCTGAACCCCATTGAGAACCTGTGGTCCATCATCAAATGTGAGATTTACAAGGAGGGAAAACAGTACACCTCTCTGAACAGTGTCTGGGAGGCTGTGGTTGCTGCTGCACGCAATGTTGATGGTGAACAGATCAAAACACTGACAGAATCCATGGATGGCAGGCTTTTGAGTGTCCTTGCAAAGAAAGGTGGCTATATTGGTCACTGATTTGTTTTTGTTTTGTTTTTGAATGTCAGAAATGTATATTTGTGAATGTTGAGATGTTATATTGGTTTCACTGGTAATAATAAATAATTGAAATGGGTATATATTTGTTTTTTGTTAAGTTGCCTAATAATTATGCACAGTAATAGTCACCTGCACACACAGATATCCCCCTAACATAGCTATAACTAAAAACAAACTAAAAACTACTTCCAAAAAATATTCAGCTTTGATATTAATGAGTTTTTTGGGTTCATTGAGAACATGGTTGTTGTTCAATAATAAAATTAATCCTCAAAAATACAACTTGCCTAATAATTCTGCACTCCCTGTATATAATTCTAAATGACATACGCAGAACATTTATTTCATGTTTTTTGTTTTTCTTTTTCAAACATATATTTTAGGTATAACTATATATGTATGTATGGATTATTTTATTCCCTGTTACCCTTACCCTGATTTAATACTTATTATTGTTATTGCTTGTAAATTCTCTAATAAAGGAAAACTTTAAAAAACCTAGTACAATTTTCAATTGGATTTCAATTTAATAGACATTATGCAGTGAGTCATTGTTTCTGCATTTAGACAATCAGGTTCGATTGTGATGTCACTCACCAGAGGACAGAAAACCCTACTCCTGCTGGTCCTACTACCATTTCACAAGCATTTTCATTGCAGTGAGATTATTTACAGAGACAATGGGTAACACTCTTTCTATATTTGATCATACCCTTGTTTCATGGTTGTGGGGTACTCAACCCCCACCCAGGAATTCTACTAAAAAAGAATTCAAAAATCAGCCAAAGATCCAGCCTTCTACGGACAGGTAAGGGAATATCTGCTACAGCTATCATAATAGATAGGGTTATTAAAATATGGTGATCAGAATAAAGATTGAGATTAGAATAAAGGATGATTTGTTAATGGGCATCATCTCTATAAATAACATAGCTTTCCTGTACATTTAATAGTGTCATCTTGAAATTAATGAGAGTAATATAAGGGTTAAAATACTTAAATTATTAATTTGAGTTTCATCTTTTAGTTACCATAATTTTCTTAACAGCTGAGATAAAAAAAATGTTCGAAAAATAAAGGTGTGTAGCCTAGCCCATTTGTAGTGATTGAAATTAAATAAATGGGCATGACATACAGGGGGGTGCAAAAAAAAAAAAGTAAAATATATAGGAATTAATAAAGGTGTTTTGAGAGTCTGGTCAGACAGCACCATCCTTGGATGAAATGCTGGATGAAATGAGTCCAGACGTTTTACAAATCTGAAACTTCATTAATCACTTTTTCTTTCCTAAATAGTCTCTCTCTTAAAGCTGAGCCCCAGATATCACCTAATCTGGATGCTTGTCTAGATCCTGATAAGGGTAAGAAATGGGAGCCATTGAAACAGAAAGGTGGGCTTGTGGAAGAAAATCGAAAAATGTACCAACACGGCATAAAGAGACTTCGCTTTCCACCTTCTGTTACGTCTAAATTTGCAGAGCTTGATGAAAGGTAAATACCGTATGATCACATTAAAACCAACGAGAGAAGAACCACAGATAGAGAAAAATGTCAATGTTTTTTCTGAACCAATATCACAAATCAGTGGGGAGTACTACGGCAACGTAACTTACTAAGCATTACCTAATTTCCATAAGGAATGCATTTTAAAATAAAGAGAAGCTTTTATGGTACAAAATATCTATTTACTGAAATTTCTGTATCCAGAATGTATTATATGAAATATAAATGATCTGATAGTGTCACTATAAGTTGTGCGATGACTGACAGATACAAAGTGATAGGGTAGCTGACGGACCAAAGTGAGAGGATAGTTGAAAAAGAATACTAGAAGTGACAAAATGGGCTGATGGATGGAGAAGGAGGACATGACACAATTGCTACAACCTTATTTTAGAGGATATATTTTTGTCAGACTTCTACAGAGAGGTAATTGGACAGCGGCTGCAGGTATCATATTAGATAGAGTTATTAGAAGATTGAGGTCAGAGTTCAATAGAGATTACAATAAAGGATGGTTTGTTAATGGGCATAATTTCTATAACTAGCATAGCTTTCCTGTAGATTTAATAGTTTTATCATGAAAAGAATGGGAGTAATATAAGGGTTAAAATCCTTAAAATGTGAATAAGAGTTTCATCTATTAGTTATTTTTCATAACAGATGAGATAAAAAAATGAATGTGTGTAGGTAGTCCATTTGTAGTGATTGAAATAAAATAAGCAGACATGGTATACAGGGGTGCAAAACAAAAAGTAAAATATATAGGAATTAAGAAAGGGTTTTTTTGAGGCACCGATCAGACAGCACCAACCAGGGATTAAATGCAGGATGAAGTTAGTCCAGACGGTTCACACGTTTTACACATCAAATTGAATTAGTTAACCATTACAATACAACTCAAATAATAATGCATAATATATAATGGCTTATTTTATCATCTCCTAAACACACTTGGTTATTCCAAAAATAAGACATCGAATGTTTGAAATATGAAAGTTCACTAATCACTTTTTCTTTCCTAAATAGGCTACCTCTTAAAGCTGAGCCCCAGATATTGCCCCAGATATCACCTAATCTGGATGTTTGTCCAGATCCTGATAAGGGTAAGAAATGGGAGCCACAGAAACAGAAAGGCGGGCTTGTGGAAGTAACTCTAAAAAGTTACCAACACGGCATAAAGAGACTTCGCTTTCCCCCTTCTGTTACATCTAAATTTGCAGAGCTTGATGAAAGGTAACTACTGTATTATCACATTAATTAAAGGGGGAGAAATCTTGTACTTTTTTTTCTATTGTTGATATTTTGTTTTAACAACGTTACATTTTCACCTTTACGCTGGCTGCTGTAAGAATTAGACTGACCATTTTGTGTTTTTTTTTTTAAAAAACCTTTAGACATGGCCTAACGACTGAACAAGACTTACTTACTGACTCCTCGGAAGACCTTACCCTGGATGACAGCATCGTGGGGCTTCCTCAATCACTACAGCCACGGTCAGCAACGGAGGTAATCCTCAAGGCAATGCTGGGGGAACTCAAAAAAAACATTCAAGCTGACGTGGCACTGCTCTGCACGGACCTCAAAGCAATGGTGAGCCGCCTGGACAAGCTGGAGACCTCTACGGAGGCCGCGACCCACTCCATAGTGGAGCTTCAAATTGAAATGGCCACACTTAAGAAACAACAAGACCTAACAGAACAATGCTTCGCAATGCTAGACGACATGAGACGCCGCAACAACCCGAAGGTATGGGGAGTACCAGAGGAGGTGCCGACAGAGGAACTCCCTCACATACTGCGGAGGCTGATATAGGCCCTACTAACACCCAAAGGGGCCAAAAGCGTGATACCAGAGGGGGTCTTCTGCATACCTAAATCCCGAAATCATATTAGATAGGGTTATTAGAAGAAGGAGGTCAGAGTTCAATAGAGATTAGAATAAAGGATGGTTTGTTCATGGGCATCATCTCTATAAATAACATAGTTTTCCAGTAGATGTAATAGTTTCATCAAATGTGTGAAATATGAAAGTTCGCAAATCACTTTTTCTTTCCTAAATAGACTACCTCTTAAAGCTGAGCCCCCGATATTGCCCCAAATATCACATAATCTGGATGTTTGTCCAGTTCCTGATAAGGGTAAGAAATGGGAGCCATGGAAACAAAATGGTGGGTTGGTGGAAGAAATTCTAAAAAGTTACCAACATGGCATAAAGAGACCTCGCTTTCCACCTTCTGTTACATCTAAATTTGCAGAGCTTGATGAAAGGTAAATACTGTATGACCACATTTATCAATTGGGGGGGTAGGGGGGAGGAGATTTTGTGCTTTTTCTATTGTTTGTTTTAACAAACTGAGATTTTAACCTCTATGCTGAGTGCTGTAATAATTAGCCTGACCTTTTTGTTTTCTTTATGTTTTTCTTAGACATAATAACTATGTCAGATATGGAAAAGAGGAGAAGATTCCCGAAGTACCATACTATATTCGGGTGACTCCAACAAAAACCAGCAAACTAATGACATATGCTCGGCCACCTAGGTAAGTGTATTATGAAACACAGAATGACAGACCATATATACATACATATATACAAATAAAACTGCAGTGTCCTCAGTACATCAATACCCGGGTTCTCTCACTGGCTGTCTGTGTACACAGAAAACCAATGAGAGAAGAACCACAGAGCAAGTTGTCAATGCTGTATCTGAACCAACATCACAAATCAGTGGGGAGTTCTACGGCAACATGACTTTCCAGGCATTACCTAATTTCCATAAGATATGCATTTTAAAATAAACAGAAGCTTTTATAGTAAAAAAATAAACTATTTAAATTACTGTAACCAGAATGTAATGTATGAAACATAAATGATCTGATAGTGTCACTGTAAGCTGTGCAATAATGACTGATAGATAACGAGTGATAGGGTAGCCGACGGACCGAAAGTGAGAGGAAAGCTAAAGAGGAATAAAATAAGTGACAAAATGGGCTGATGGATGGAAAGAGAGGAAAGGATAGAATTGTTACAACTTTATTTTAACTTTACCTATTTTAATTGCAGGGACCCAATCTTTTCTTCTACGTTAAAACCTGGAAGTTACTTCCAAAACAATTCATAACAACTAAAAAGGCTGCAAGCGTCCCAGAAAAGGAAGTAGACAAGAAAGAACCAGAATATGAAATAAATTATTCTGCTGAGTATTCTAAACAGAATATTATTCTACAGCCTGAACCTGTCACAAGTCTAGAAGATATTCCTTATCCTTTGCTGCAGTCTGTGTCTCTTCTAGATCCTACAGCGGTTGTCACATATTTAGAAAACAACAATTCTCTAGAATGCCGTTTGTACTATCGAACCTCATACAACTAGACTGACAGAGGATATGCCAGTGAACCTTAGTCACCCACAGTCCAATTTCAGTTGTTCGTCTAACCCTACAAATCTAGATTCACAGAACCCAGTCACAGGTCATTGTCATTTGCTGCAGTCTGTCTCTAGAGCCTACAGAGGTTGTCACATGTTTAGAAGACAACAAATCTCTAGAATTCCTTGATTGTACTATCGAACCTCATACAAGTGGATTCACAGAGGAAGTGCCAATGAATCCTGGTCAGACACATTTCACTTTGGGTTGTCATCCTGAGTCTACAAATCTAGAATCTCAGGAGGCTGTCACAGTTCAAGACCATGGTATTCTTCTAGAGGACCCAGTTTGTCCTGCCAAACCACACACTGGTGAACTGTTAGAGGAGCTGCCACTGTAATTTCTCCCAATGTTCAGCCAGAAGAGTTACATCTAATCAATCAAGAGACCACCCAGGAGCAGACACAAACTGAGATAAAGAATAATCAGCCTGGATCATATGTGAGCCTGAGCAGTGACCATGAAGAGCAACCATTCATACCAGAAACAAAAGAAAAAGAACCATCTGGAGATGTTGATATAGTATTGAAGCAAATCATGGAAAGCCAAGCCAAATAATATTAAATCAAAGGTAGAAAGCATATGCTATGACAGGAATTTCTTACTCCAATTGAGATTCATCACACAGGAGCCAAAGGAAATTTGTAAAATCCACCAAGGTATGGTTATTAGACCTCACCTTCGGCCAGTGGATCCATCATGATTGACTCACAGGAATTGGACACCTCTATCTGCAAATTTCTGCCACCCTGCTAAGGGTAATGACAGATTGCCATCTGGAATGGGTCAAATGAGGTCTTAGAAAGCTCCTGCTAAAGAACCTCATAAGGTTATTCAACTCAACGAGAATGTTAAACTGCAAACATCTGCCAAAGCTTGGAGACGTACTATGAAAAGGGCAAAACGAAGATCCCAGTAGAGTCAAGGCTGAAGAACCGTTTCGTAAAGTTCGCGGTATCCTGAATAAGATCACTCCTCAGACATTCCAGCACTTAATCCATCAGGTGAAGGACCTTTCTGTAGACACAGAGTATCAGCTTAAAAGTGTTGCTGAACTCATATTTGAAAAAGCAGTAGCAGAGCCTCATTTTGCAGTTATATATGCCACCATGTGCAACTGGCTAATGATGCTTGAGGTCCCAACAGAAGAAGAGTGCATTACGTTCCACAGGCTGATAATAAGGCTCTGCCAGGTGGAGTTGGAGAGAGGTGAAAAAGGTGGTGAAAGAACTGAACAACTGCAGAAGGAACTGGACACTGCTATGTCACCTCATGAAAAGACTCGACTGAAGGAGGAATTGAATGATGCCTGTAATAGAGCACGCAAGCGATCCCTTAGAAACATCAACTTTATTGTGGAGCTATTTCAATTAAACTTGCTCTCAGAAGACACCATGACAGACTGCGTTATCAAGCTACTGAACAAAAACAACGAGGAGTCCATGGAGTGTGTTTGTCTATTGTTGACATCAGTTGGAAAATACCTTGAGAATGGACAGTCTTGCATGGACAATTATTTCTACAAGATTAATGTCTTTATTAAAAGCAGGAGAGCATTGTCTAGGATTAGGTTTTTGGTGCAGGATGTGCTGGATCTGAGGAGAAATAACTGGGTACTGCAACACTAACCCGAAGGTCCAAAAACAATTGATCAAATCCATAAAGAGGCAGAACAGGAATCAAGAAAAAAAGTGCTGTGAACCAAAAACCCTTCAGTAGACACATGGATATACGCAATATATGCACAAAGACAAGCCTGCAGATTGATTTACACAAATACTTTAAAAAACATTCAGGCAGTGACACCAACTTCTATGCACAAAGCAACACAGATAGAGACAAATGCATATTCATGCACAAGCACAAACATTTATTCAAAGACAAATTCAGACAATCATGCAAAGACAAACACATTCACATACAATCACACACTTCCTAATGGTAGCTTTAACACCTGAGCAAACAAAATATTTATTCATAATAAAAAGGCACACCCCTGTTATGAAATTAACACATTAATTGTGGCATAAAAACATGATCTAGAATTGCACTTGTAAGTTTCATCATTGCAACAACAAAAAATCATCACACTGAAACTCACATTAACAACAAGCATAGTTCACTGGCCTGGAGGATTCACACGTGACATTCCAGAACCACCATTGTTAACCTACTTACATATATTTTATATATTGTTAATTTTATTACAACAATAAAATCTGTTCTTAAAATTCACCCTTTTATACTGATGTTGGTTTGTTCTTTGGAGGTGTTTTATTGCCTGGGCCACTGCTAGCTTTCAAATATATCTATAGATTCAGCCCATACTAAATCTCACGGACTCCATCCTAAAGCCTCATCCCTTGGTTTCTCTGTAGCTGTATAATACACACTCCCTTAAAGGAAAACGCCATGCATCAGCTGTAGTGGTTATAGTGCCCGGAGTGCCCTGCTGCCCACACAGGATAAGTAGTCAAACCTTTTGAGACAGGGCACTTCAATCTGTGTGCCTGGAAGCTCCTGCATTGAAGCTAAACCAGTGGTCCAGGGCATTGGTTGAGCGTACTCACCTTACCATCTCAGCCAGCAGGCTTAAAATAAGTGGAGTTAACAGAAGCTCCTCCTTTAAATATTTACACTGCGAGGTCACACCTAGCATCATAACCACTGCATCAGACTGGTTATGGTGCTCCAAATAATACTTTAAACTCTTTCAAGGCTAGGGTATAAATAGTTCATTGTTTTGGAGCAAAATAATGCACTGCATATCTCAGCCACTGAAAGGGTTAAGCTTTGCAGGCTGTTAAGCTATGTCTCCCTTGTTGTTTTCTAGTGGGCATTAATATTAGCCTCTTAAGGACACATGACGGAAATATTCCGTCATGATTCCATTTTATTCCAGAAGTTGTGTCCTTAAGGGGTTAAGGAGTTCAAATATTCATTTAATATTCCTAAAACCAAGACACATATTTTTAGAGTTAACCTTTTCAGAGTTTTTAACTACAGTATGACTTAAAAGTGAATTTCAAATTTAAGGAGAAGATAGCCCAATTGGAAGCATAGTTGACTTGGAGAATGTTTCCATTTCAGCTTTTTGGCCTCAAATGTGAAATTCACATTGAATTTCCCGTGCATAACTCCGAAAGGATGACATCAGTTGGCTTAGAATCATCTGTGTTATGAAATTATTATCTGAGCAAGTTGCCCCACGTATATTTGGAGTAGCAATGGAAATGATAAATGCTTCAGTCGAAATACGCCTTAAAGGAACACTAAGGTCAGGAACACAAATAACCAGAATTACCAGAATCAATAACGCGCTCTCGGACAACCACAAGGGAAACCACGACAGGGCACTGAGCAGGATGAGAACTGGACCTAAATACCCCTCCTCTGGATCTGATAGGGTGTAATCGGCCTTTGACCCCAAAGGCAGTTACCAGGTTACCATTTGCATAATTGCTGCTCAGCACAAACCCTGTTGTGGATTTGATTTCTGCTCGGCACAACTTTTCCTGTCAGGACAGTAATGTTGTTTGGCACAACTTTTCCTGTCTTAACAGTAAATTCCATTCATCACATTTTTATAAGCGGATGAATGCGTGACATTACCCCCCACCTGAAGAACGCCCACCGGGCAGCAGGGCCAGTCTTGAGAGGAAATTTGGCATGAAAATAGCGAATCTTGCGGCCAGCATGTATATAAACTGTACTTCAGACTGGTCAAAGATAAATTTTTCCAATTTACAATAAAGTAGTTTTTTTAACAAGCTTTGCAGAACTTGTTTAACGTGATCGTGGTGAGTCTGGAGGTCAGTTGAATAAATAAGGATATCATCCAGATAGACCAAGACAAACGAGTAAACGTAATCCCTGAGTACATCGTTAATGAAATCTTGGAAAACCGCTGGAGCATTGCACAACCCGAATGGCATCACTAGATATTCATAGTGTCCACTTCTGGTACTAAATGCAGTCTTCCACTGTGGTTTTCCTTGATTCTCACTAAATTGTAAACACTTTAGTGCCCTGGAGTCTGTCAAATAATTCAGCAATAGGAGGAATGGGGTAGGCGTTCTTAATGGTGATTTTGTTCAATGCCCTGTAATTGATACATGGGCGCAACTCACCATCCTTTTTAGATACAAAAAATAATCCTGCACCAGCAGGCGAGGATGATTTTCGTATATAGCCTTTATTCAATGAATCTTTAATATATTCCTCCATTACACTACTCTCCTGAGGAGATAGAGCATAGACTGCTCCTTTAGGTGGCATAGCACCTGGTAGTAAGTTAATGGAACAGTCATATGGTCTGTGAGGAGGTAGAGTATTAGACTGAGTCTTGCTGAATACTTCTTTAATGTCTTTGTATTGTATAGGGATCTCAGGATTTTGATGTTTACTAGTGGGTAATTTAATAGTGCCCACTCTTTTGGTGACATGCAATATGCACATTTCATTACAATCCTTACCCAATTCTAATATTTCCCCATTAGCCCAGTCAATATGAGGATTATGCTTGCTAAGCCATGGGAATCCTAATATGATAGGACAAGGAGATGCAATCACCTGAAATGTAATCTCTTCCTTATGTAAAGCACCAATGGATATATTAATGGGTAATGTTTCATGCGTTATCAATGGTTGTGAGAGTGGTCTCCCATCAATAGCTTCAACAGCTAGGGGTGATAGTCTCTCTTTGATAGGTATGGTATTACCCTTCACAAATTGAACGTCGATGAAGTTTCCAGCAGCATCTGAATCCATCATGGCTTTGCATGAAAAGTTCTTTTTGTCAAAGGCGATAGAAATATCAAGGAGAAACCTATTTTTATTCTTTTCAGAGGATGTTTCCATTACACTTAAGACCTGTCCCTTTAAGGTGCGGTAGTTTTCCGGACGTATGGGACAATTGTTTCTCATATGTCCCTTCCTACCGCAG